CTTGGACACAGTTCTTGGATCGTGGACACAAGGCTTTAAGCTTACTCTCGGTGAATCAAAATGCCATCAATCAGTGTTACAAATATTTTTAAAATTATGCCCGTATTTCAGCTTCCTTACACCAAAAGCTACAAGTTGGGGCTCTCCCTTACTCCTTACTCCACGTATTGTAGACCAGCGTTTAAAGGCAGCGGGATTTATAATCTGCTTTTACAAATGTATAACGTACTCTGTTTAGTCTGTTTGCGAGCGGGTGTTGCCAACGGAAGACGATAATCCAAGAGGGAGTAATTTAAGAATACATTTCTGATATCGCATATCGGAAACCACCACGATAACCAGATGGCTTCGAAACAAGTACAGTATTACTGTACAACAGAGCTATTTTACCCGGCGTAGGCCAATTCCTTCTCGAAATGTGCACTTTCTCTTCCAACAGATTTTCATCGTTGGACGTAAACGTTTCCAACTGACCCGAGCGCTTCCAAGTGTTCCGTAAGACCGCGTCAGGCTCCGTACAGTTTATAGAGTGCACATTTGGCGGAAGCAGTGATCGATTTGAGTAAAAGTTACTAAACTTGAGATTCGCCCGAGATAGTCAGCTTTAGTCTGATTGGTCAAATTTCGATCTAATCTCAATCCATAGTCCTCATACAGGCTTCAGGCTGATAACAGCCAATAACGGTCGAAGTGTACGCAGATAGCAAAACCTGCCAAAACAGATTTCGTCAAGCGCCCAGTGCAGACTTTGAAGGCAGAAAGACCGCAGATTGTATACCGTGATCGCTTAAGGGGATGCTGGAGTGACTCTGCACTTTTGCACCTTTCTAATCAACAAACTGTCAGCTCGCGGAAACATTTGTGTAATATACAAATTAAATGGCGTTTAGTTTCAGTGATGCCATGTTGTTCTTTAATTTAGCCTGAATAGCAATTGCTACTTTCGATCTGTACACGTAAGCCATTTAATGTGTATATTACACAAATGTTTCCGCGAAACGGGCAATTTTGAGTGCAAAAGCGCAGAATCACGTTTCGCTTACCGCCGTTGGCTGCCGAGGTAGAAAACCTGACACTTGAACATGTATTTGTCAGCGGCAAAAGATCTATTATATAATAAGGATTGAAGTAAAAAATCGAGCAAAAGTAGTTGAATGTTTAAATTTCAACGACGACTTACGGTATTAGAGTATGATTAATCCAAAGAAAAATTTATAGAACACGATAGTGTTCTACTTGCAATAATTTCTTGATTTGAGAACAACATAATTTGTGGTACTATTTCGTAGATATTTTTACAAAAAAAAATTAATGTTTCAACGAAGATATAAAAATTCCTATTTCAAGTCAATTTTTTGTAGTTATTTATAGAAATTTTTCCGCCAGGGTAGTTGGGAAAGAACTACTTAAAGACTGTTGCCAAGACAAAAGCCAAATCGGACACAGACGACTTTGGTGTGGGCTTCTGACGAATCTGCTGCAAATTTCTTAACATTTTGCTGACTGACTGTGAGTTTTTACCGAGTGTTTCTAGACTATTTCACTAAAAAATCGATTGCCTCTTATATAATCGCGCGATAGTAAGAAAGAAGGGAGAAATTTGCATACTCCCAGGAAAAAAATGTATATATCTCATCATATCTCACTCAGCTGTCAGCAGATATGACTATAGATATATGTCTTTTCTTAAGTTTACCCTCGTGGAAGCGCCTTTCAACCGTTAGGTTGTACCAGCATATTTCTGGAAATTCCTTGAAATTCACCCATACAGCACAGAATGTTAGAATAATATTGTTGAAACGTTGCAACGTTGAAGTATAAATATCTTTTCTACGTTGAATCTACATTTCTTAACATTGATGCAATGTTGCAATGTTATAACGAAACGTTTCTGAGAAACGTTGATTCAATATTTGTGTGCTGTATGGGTCATGCGCTTAATGTTGATTAAACACTAAATCCTACTCTAACGGCACTTAAACTTTTTCAAGCGCCGAACCTTTGAAATTTCCCTCAGCGGAAAAATATGCGGGACAATGGCCGGGATTTAACCGAGGGCCCTATCTATTTTACTAATGACTCATGTTAGCACAGCGG